TGTAAGCACAAGAATGCAGATGCATTCTGACTGTAAGCATGCTCATCTTGAGCAGGCTCTGCTGCCGTGATGCCAAGTTGCCATGATGCAAAGTTGCGGGCGGCGGGAGGGCGGCGCCGCCCGCNACTTTGCATCATGGCAACTTGGCATCACGGCAGCAGAGCCTGCTCAAGATGAGCATGCTTACAGTCAGAATGCATCTGCATTCTTGTGCTTACATTGCAGCGCTGCCATTCCGAAACGGCGTAGCCACGACACAGCTGATCAACCAGCGCTGGCGCACGCCCGCGGCATGCCAGGAAGCCCACCGTTTGACCACCAGCAGCTGTCACCACCAGTCGTCAACAGAGCTGGGTCGCTGCCGCACCCGCTGCCCCCGCCCCTCCTCCGCCTCCCCCGCTCCTTGCACTTCGGTCACTTGCGCCGCCGCTGCCGAGGGCGCCGCCGCTGCCGCTGCTGCCGTAGCAGGCGCCGCCCCCGCCGGCTCCTCCTGCTGCTGCTGCTCCAGGGTGCCTCCCGGCGTGGCGGCAGCCCGCGGAGGCAGCCAGGCATCGGGGGCGCCTGGCTCGACCAGGGGCGAGGGCACCGGCAGCGGCGGGCGGCTGAAGACCTCCACGCCCGGGGGGGTCCACACGCGCACTTGCACTGCAGGGGGGCAGCAGTACAGGAGGCAGTACATGAGGGGGTTACAGTGCGCACTGCAATACAGAGACAAGGGGCGAGGCCAGCATCAGGCAACAGGTCCTCAGCCAGCAGGAGGAACCCTCAGAAGCAGGCAGGCACATGTCCACCAACAGAGTGAGCAGAAAAGCCAGGGGGCGCAGCCGGCACGGCTTGGCACGCAGCAGGCGCCCACCCGTGTGGCCCCTGCCGGCGCTGGCGTGCACCGCCACCCAGCCAGGGACGCCTGCAGGCAGGGGGGGCAGAGGGGCAGGAGCCGGCCAGCCGGCGTTGCTGCCGACGAAGCATGCAACCAGAGGGGCGGGGCGGGAGCGAGGCGGCATTGCTTACGCCGCATGCAGCGGCCACAGCCCCCCAGGGCGGGTTGGCCAAACACTTGGCCGCTGCAGGGGCTGGCCGAGGCCTTGCCCGTGCCACCGCCACCGCCGCCGCTTGCATTCGGCACCAGGCACAGACACCCCACACCACCCCTGCCCACCTACCCACCCACCCCAACCATGGACCACCGCTGCCCCAAGCGCCGCCCACCCACCCGAGACAGCGATGTCGGCCACCGCCTGCCTGGCCCCGCTCCCACCCGCTCCACACTTGATGTGCAGGGTCTTGCAGGGCCGCAGCCCGCCCCGCCGCATCACCGACCCCGCCCCAAAGCCGTGAGGCTCCTCCGCCACCTCCTCCCCTCCAAGGCCCGGCCACCCGCCTCCCATCCCGGAGCCGCCGCTAGCGGCGCCGCCGCCACGCCGCCGCCCCGCGCCCACATCACCGCCCGGGCCCTCGCCCTCGCTGGCGGAGGCGTCGCCCTCGCTGGCGGCGGCGGCGTCGCCGGCGGGGTCTGCCGCTTCCACAGAAGCCTCCACCAGCAGGGCCTGGGGCCCGTAGAACACCAGCTCTGTGTCGGGCGGGCAGCTGAGCAGCTGCAGCTTGGCCAGGCCGCCCCACCTGCAGGGGGCGACGGAGGGTGGCAGCGGGGCACGCAGCGTAAGGCCCAAGGGCCGGAACGTAAGTTCTTGCAGTTATTGCAATTTTGTTGTTTTCTTTCAAGTTGCTACCTATGGTTTCTCCCCCAGGCTTAATAGTTTGATAATTCAATTTAACCATCTCGATTCAATCAGTATCAGCTCACCAGTAGGTGGCCACGTGGCAGCTGGGCCCCGCCGCCGCCGCCGCCGCCGCACCCGCGCCCGCGCCAGCGGCAGCTCCGCCGGCGTCTCGCGGGCGTGCGGGCATGGAGCAGGCGGCGGCAGTGACTTGCAGCAGCTCGCCGGGGGAGGGGGGCACGTAGGGGCGCAGGCGGCGGCGCGGGTGCAGCTGCTTGTTCTCTGCGGGGGTGGGGAAGAAAGAAAGGAAGAAGAGACATGAGGGGATGTGGGGAAAGAGAGGCGGGGCATGGCGGTTGTTGGATGAGTAGGCAACGGGGCAGGAAGCGGGGGCAGACGGGAGAGCACCAGCAGCGCCGCAGCAGGCAGCCCGGCTGTTCCAGGCGCAGCAGCGCGGCGATAGCGCCGGGCCAACAGCAGCACAGCGGCAGCACCGGCGAACAGCACAGGCGAGCGGCGGCGGCGCACCCGCGGGGGTGAGCAGGTGGGGCAGCGCAGCAGCAGGGGTGCCGCCAGCGCAGCACAGGAGCAGCAACAGGGCCGCACAGCAGCAGGAGCGGCGGCGTACCCGCGGGGGGAGCAGATC